TGCGTCTCCTTAAGGTTGTATGCTAGAGTGAAAACGAATGCCGTCGGATCCATTGACGAACTTCTCGCCTTAAGGGGAGCTATTTCACGCGTTACGGTATCTACCTCCGTAGGACCGCGTTAAAAGGAAGATTGCAGGCGATGATTTGAGAATTCGCTGTGAGAACGGTGAAACCGATTTGCATATTGAGGATTTTCGCCTGGTTCGGAAACTACAGAGCATGCGCTGGAAGCCAGTAATTGTTCTTCCCGGACATTAAAATCAACAACTGGATTGCACGTGCTTTAGGCGCACGTGTGTAATCTTCCTTATAAACTAGAGGAAGTAGCGCATTTTGAGTCAGTACTCCTTCTGGACCTTATGGCTTTTATGGAGAAAGGGTTGTAGCCAGAAATCTCATATCCCGAAGTACATGGTCCTGGTTACAGTCTCTCACGATCTGATCCTATTGGTTAGAGGTCGGGGACGGCGTCATACGCTTTTGGACGGACATTCGGAAGGTCCATGTAGCTGACGCTGTCCCGGAAAGTGACGACTGCTCCGATGTGCCTTTGTGTCATATTCACGATGGATGTAGATCCCTCGTTCTCAGTGTCTTCTACAGAGATTCCCTGCCTTTTTGTGATCGTTTACCGACCGCTCTAAAGAAGCATGGTTGAAATAAGGATTGTTTATTAGTGAGGGGCTTCCATGCCCCTAATGTTGATTGGAACCTTCTTCCCTGTGATGATGCACCTGCCTCCTTCGCTTCTATGTTTCTGGAAGCTCTTCTGGAAAGCAATTTGATTTAACCTGTCGCGGCACCTACTCGTATTATCCCTGGTCCGACGCCGCACATACTCGATCATGTGTTTTCATCTGCACAGTCGAATGCTTCTGAATTGAAAGTTTTACTGGCAATCAGCGGAGTGACCACTGCCTACTATACTTTCACTGGACCACACGGTTGAGCATTCCCAGCCACTGTGTCTATTGTCAGAATTTCTGTAGTGCAGATCCAAACTGCTTGAAGCTGGTCGCTAGCGAGCATGAATGGTGTCTTCCCCAGCACTTTGATGTCGTTGATTCTTGGAGCCTTGTTTACTCGAAACTACTGGCCCTTATTGATGGTGTTCTTCCCATATCCAAACGGGAACAACTTACTAGAGGTCCCATTGGATTGACCGAGAATTACGATCACTCATGAATCAAGGACAAAATCTTTGCACGCGCTATAGGCTTTCGAGCTAGGAACCTGTTTATAAAAATTAAAATTGGTCCGGAACCTCTGTACATCGAAAAAACGTAGGAAACCGCGGTAATACGAATGTCATCTGGCTGAGGGTTGCAAGCTATACCGAAGCTGATTTTCTCCTGCTTGGAAAGGAACACCAGAGCCGGAAGTGGAGCACCGTTCTTGCATTCCCACGCAAGTAACACCGTGCTCCACAACGATGCTGATAAATCTAGTCTTCGAGCTTGCCATTATTCATCGGAGGTGCCGTCAGTTGCTTGTTGCTCGTCCTTGCTCTCCATTCTCAATGCTATGGACATAAATGTTAGTATGGTATTCAAAATTTGTGCGAGCTGGATCCAAACTCTTCGCCGGGACGTGAGGGATTGCATCCTATTTTCCTCAAGATTGTTGTCGAAAATATTGCTATTATTATCTGTCACAAATTTCGGCGCTCAATAAAGGCTGGGCGTCTTCCGCTTGTTCGGAAAGTGAGCATATTCAAGCCCACATGGTTGGCTGCATCCGGTTCCCGATTTGCCTGTTACTATGGCCAGCCACTGGATGCGTACGCCTACAGAAAGACCCTGGGTGGCTTGCGCTCACCACGCACAGATCCATCTACACACCACATATCCAGTGTAAACCCAAAGGAATAAAACCTGCAGGCATGCGGATGGGAGCCACGTTTCATCAGGGTAGCCGGCCCTCACTCTTTAATAGGCAAACACAAGCGCGCTGTATTTGGGAACCAAGCGCACACACAAAGCGTTGGCTGGACCGCAGTCTGCTCCACATTGAGTGTATGAACCACTCTTTGATCCTAACACGGACACAAGGATCGTGAACCCCGTCCCCTCCAGCAACGACCAACTGTCTCCTGGAGCCACGCCGGGGATATTAAGCAAAAGCCAACCACTTAGGAGTAAGATAACAAAGAAAATAAAACGTGCGCTGCATTAGGAAACAGTGGCATGAAGCTTAAATTATTGGGCATGTGAACTAGGTTGTTTACAAAAAAATCCGATATAAGTTCCTGAGGTCAGAACGTATATTTTACGGAAATGCCGCAATAACTTAAATGTTCTTGAAATTTACTACAATTGGCTTAAGCCACATGTACAAGTTTGTAGAAGTGAGTACGAGTAGACATTTGTAGGAGAAAAAAGCATTAGGAAAAAGTCGACATGGCTCTACAAATTATCTAAATTATCTAAATTGTCAAACACCTGTTAAAGAGAGGATGCATAAGCGAGCTCTCAACCCGCATTTCCAGTATCTCAAGAGCATTTCAGCTGCACAGCATGGGTTTTGCGTTCGCCTTCTGTTGTGTCCACTTGGGCTCGACTTAGCACCTTCTATGGTTGCGCCATGCGAGTCAAAATACAACGCACCGGAAGGGAAGTATATTTGCGAAGAACTGCACGGGCCGACGTGGGATTGAAAACACGCCGATTAAAGTTCAAATCACGGATGAGTGCTAAGTTTAATTTATCGATCTCAAGGAAGCACTGGACGTGTGAGTGGTATGAAACAAGCGGTAGTAACAAACGTTCTGCAACACAAAATCCCTAGTCTGCTTGTAACTGCGACTTTTCTGAAAAAAGGTAGACGGTTACCTGGGGAATTTGCGCACATACCTCCCCGAACAAGTCAATGTGTTTCGCTTCTGTGCGCAGTTGATTTTGGTCTGACCTAACACCTCGTGTGGCACCAATCGTATGTTAACTCGAGTAAAGTGGGTTATATCCATGGATGGTGTTAAGCGACTAGTTGTAGTATCTGTGGATTTCAGTAAAGCTTTTGACAAGGTTCCACACGAAATTTTGCTTAGCAAACTTTGCAGTATTAGTGTTCCAGGAAAAATTCTCTCAACTTACTGATTTCTTGCATGATCGCGCTTCCCGTGTGCAAGTAAATGAGGACCTTTTCCTTCCATGTAGAGATGACAAGCGGTTCCGCAATGCTCTGTCCTTAGCGCTGAACATTTTAAACTCTTTATTAATGAACTGGCGTCTGTACTACTGGCAGGTTGCTTGGTTTACGCTGATGACTTAAAGCTTTGGATAGAAGTCTCCTATATGGATAAAGTTAATGTACTACAAACAAGACTCCCATCGCTGCATATTTGGTCGAACGGGTGTTAGTTAGCCATAAACCACAATAAATATTCCGCTTTTCCGGTCGGTGCTTTCGCACCATTTGGAAGTTATCATATCGGTGGGTTTTTGCTTCCAAACTCTAACGGTGAGAGGGACCTTGTCATCGTTGTGACACCAGACCTAAAATCAACTGAAGATACCTTGAGGAAAGTAGCTTCTGCCAACAGGTTGCTTTTCGCCATACGAAGATCCTGCTCGCGCTTGAATTCGGTGATCTTCAGGCTCCTGTTCACTTCTCATATACATCCGACGCTTGAGTATGGACCGCCCGCTGTTTAGCTCATTTTCAAACCTGCATGCAATTTGATTGAAGAAGTTCAGCTTAGAGGATCTAAATACATCCTGCAGTTACGAAACCTACCTTGTTTACATTGTTTTCAGCGCCAGAGGTTGTCCTCCCTTGCCTATCGTCGCGATCGCGGGGATTTGCTTTTCACACGGTGTAACGTTAGAGGTGAACATGGAGCCGAACTGCGGAATTTCTTTAAACTCACATCTTTCAGTTGGGTTCGGGGTCACCATTGGAAATTATTTAAACAAAGGAGACTTTAGGTCCGTTGTGACCTCACTCTGTCTACCAGAGTAGTGTACGAATGTAAAATCTACCTGTGTAAATCGTGGATGCGCAGTCGGAGGAATGTTTCAAACATGGCTTGGATTTTTGCCTGTTAAGTAAACCCGGATCTTGTTGCTTCTTGTGTCAATGCAGCGGTTCCATTGGTACCGAATTGCATTGTTGACCTTGAGCCGTGTGACGAACGGGAGGCGATGGTGCTGGCAAAGGATTGTTCCTTCTGCTCACTACATTCCAATGCTCCAAGGATACAATGATAAAAACAATTAATAAAACAAGTAATAAATGCTTTAATCTAAAAGCGTCTGGATATGCTCATACTTTGTTCACTTTAACCTTCCTACAAAGTTACATTAAAAGTTACTTAGTGCTTTATTTCATCTCTTATAATTTCAATAATGCCTTCCGATTATTTTATAATTGACTATTTTAGCCATTTTATTGCTACTCCCTTCCTGCTGTATATCCATCACTAAAATCTCAGCTGGTTCGTAGCACGCCTACTGCAAAACGCTTCCCGGAAGTCCGTTAGTTGCGCCTCACCCCTCACCGGTCTA